TTGCTCAGGGCTGGAACTTTACCACTTGATACATGTCACCTGACTAGGTTTTTTCTTTTTCTGTACAGAGGATTGAACACAGTGCCTCATGCTTGAGTGCTCTACTAATTGAGCCAAGTTCCAGCCATTTGGTTTACACTATGTTTGAAAGACAGCCAACGTTGTTTAGGTTAGCCTCCAACTTTCAAGCCTGCAAGTTACTCAGATTACAAGCATGAACTGCCATACCCTAGTTCCAGAAATCTGAATTTGTGTACAAATAATTGTAATGCCCTCTAGCTTTGAGAATCTGTTTTTTGTTGTTGTTGGACATGGGAGACTTCATGCAGTGATTTGATGGAAGAGAAAGAGGTGTTACTGTGTATAAGGTCAGATGTGTTAACTAAGAAAGCCTTTCAAATTTTCAGCCCTTTCAACACATTCTTGAAATGTGATATAGAACCTAGCTAGTCATCACATGGCTGTGCTTCTAGCTCTAAAAAGGTCAGAATTAGGGACTGGGAATGTGGCTTAGTGGTAGAGTGCTTGCCTAGCATGCATGAAGCCCTGGGTTTGATTCCTCAGTACCACATACACAGAAAAGTCCAGAAGTGGTGGTGTGGCTCAAGTAATAGAGTGCTAGCTGTGAGCAAAAAGAAGCCCAAGGATAGTGCCCAGGCCCTGAGTTCAAGTCCCAGGACTGGCAAAACAAAAAAGAAGATCAGAATTAGAAACTTTACATAGTTATATTAAGAACCAGTGTTCTGAATAAGAAAATCTCTGCAAGAAAGTTCATAAAATAAACTTCATTGACATTGTTACTACTGCATTTTAACTTTGGCTTTTTATTTACTGACATTACCCAGAGCTTCTTTGTATGAAAGTTAAGAGTTCCAGCATTAAATCCTCCTACCAGTAAAGTCACCACAGATATGACAAGCACCTCAGAGAAAGAACATCTTTGTTTTTTTAAAAAATAAGAACATATAACTTTAATTCTTTTTAATTTTATTGTCAAGTTGATGTACAGAGTAGTTCTAGTTCTAGTTACGTAAGGTAGAGAGTACATTCCTTGTCAAACACTGTTACTCCCTCGTTTTTCTCCCACTTTCCCTCCCCCTACCTTTTCCCCACCCCAAGTTGTAAAGTTCATTGCCAACGGATTGCCTTCTGAGTATCGCTGTTGCGTTGGTTTACCCTTTGCCCTTTATCTCACCATTTTGTTCTTCCCTTTCCTTTCCCAATTTTTTTGAATGTTGTTCCAACCTGGCTTTTTTTCTGCATTAAATTTTTTGGAAAACTAACAAGCAAGGTGCTTTTCTTCAAGAAGTTTACACTGAGCCGGGCTTCGGTGACTCAGGCCTGTAATCCTAGCTACTCAGGAGGCTGAGATCTGAGGATCAAGGTTCAAAGCCAGCCCGGGCAGGAAACTCTGTGAGACTCTTATCTCCAATAAACCACCAGAAAACTGGAACTTGCACTATGGCTCAAGTGGTAGAGCGCTCGCCTTGAGCTGAAGAGCTGAGGGACAGCACCAAGGCCTAGAGTTCAAGCCCCATGACTGACCAAAAAAAAAAAAAAAAAGATATATAGAAATAGCCAAATGCATTTTATATTTTAATAGTCTTAAAATAATTCTTTGTATGTCAAAAAGTGATAGATTCTACAGGGAATTAAAGAAATATTGAGAGAGATAATGAAGACCTAAAATTTATTTCTACTGTGAAGTGACTGAGCTTCTTACATTACTTCTATTATCTCAATTTCTTGCTTTTGTCTTATGATTTCCCTAAAGAAGGCAGTGTGCTTCACTTTTCTAATTGGCTTAAAGGCATAAGTGAGCAGTAAAAGCAAATTTAAACTACAAATAATTCAGAAGGCTTAGAATAAAAAGTACAAATTCATCCTTTCTGTATATATTTTCCAGTTAAGTATTGAACTTATTCAAATTGGTGAAATTGTCTTTCCAAATGGTCCTATTTCTCAGTGTATTTTTATTTTTTAGCAGTCTTGCAGATTATCTCAGTGCCTTATGCTTGTCTAGACTGGGCTCTACCTCTTATGCGATGACTCCAACCCAGATTTTTTTCTAGTTATTTTTGAATCATGATCCTCCACAACTTAGCCTCCTGAGTAGATATGATTGCAGGTGTTAGCCGCCGTTTCTTAGCTTCTCAATGTAAATACCATTTGTATTCTTCAACTTGTAATGATATTTCAGGGGTTAGTTTCTACAACTGTAATGAAACTGTTGAGAAAAATCAACTTAAAAGACCAAGAATTTATTTTGGCTCGTAGTGTCAGAGGTGTCACTCAACCTTCGGCTGGTTCCATTGCTTCAAGACCGGTAGCAAGGCAGAGTATCATGGAAAGAAGGAATACGTTGTGGAGAAACGCCGGTTAATTAATGCAAGTCAGGATGCAAGGAGAAATAGGAAGAGTGGGGGAATGGAAGCAGAGAGGAAGAAACAGAAGGAGAGAGGGAGAGGAGACTCTTACCTGCATTTCCCACTCTTCATTTGCCTCCCCCTTTCCCCTTTTCTCCACTCCACCCCTTTTGAGTGTCCATTTCCTGGTGTTTTATTTTGATGAACTTTGATTTTGGTTCTCTATTTGAGATCTCCCTAGAATCTATAGTACTTCAGTTAATACATTTGTACGCCGCTCAATATATTTATGAGTTTGTAAGCTAAATCTGTCTTCCACATAGAAGAGAAAACATGTATACTCTGTCTCTCTGGACCTGACTTACCTCACTTAATGTATTCCCCCTCTCCCCCCTGCAAGTTTTTTCATTTCTTTACAAATGGTACAAAATCATTCTAACGGACGAGTAAAATTTCATTGGGTATATATACACCGCATTTTCTTGATCCATTCATTCACGAAGGACATCTGGTCTGATTCCATACCTTGGCTATAGTAAATAGTGTTGCAATGAATATGGTTGTGTTGGTGGTTTTACTGTATCTTGTTTTATAATTTTTGGGTAAATGCCAGGAGTGGAACTGCTGGTCATAGGGTAGTTCTATGGTGGGTTTTTTTTTTTTTTTTTTTTTGATGCCTGTCCTAGGGCTTGAACTTAGGGCCTGGGTGCTGTCTCTGAGCTTTTTTGCTCAAAACTGGTGTTCCAGCACTTGAGCCACAGCTCCACTTCACTTTTTTTGGTAGTTTAGTGGAGATCAGACACTCATAGACTTTCTTGCCTGGGCTGGCTTTGAGCCACGATCCTCAGATCTCACCTGTGTAGCCAGGATTATAGGTATGAGCCACTGGTGCCCAGCTTTATGTTTTTTGAGGAACCTCCACACTGCTTTCCAGAGTGGTTGAACAAGCTTACACTCCCACCAACAGGGTATTAGGGTTCCTTTTGACTGCATCCTCATAAGCATGCTATTATTTGTTTTCTTGACAATGTCCATTTTAACTGTGGTGAGATGGAATCTCAGTATTCTTTTGAGTTACATTTCCTCTATGGCCAGAGATTTCAAACTTTTCTTCACATGTCTATTGGCCATTTTTACTTCTTGTGAGAAGACTCTCTTTAGCTTATTAGCCCATTTATCAATAGGGTTGTTTTATGAGGGCTTAATTTTTTGAGTTCTCTGTGCATTTTGGATATTAGGCCATTGTCTGATGTGTAGCTGGCAAAACTCTCCCAGTTTGTTGGCTTTTTTTTCTTACTGGGATTCCTAGCAAGAGCAGTAAGGCAAGTAAAAAACCAATAGGGGATCTGAGTAGGGAAGGAAGAAGGAAAATTATCCCTTTTTGTGGATGATCCTGTACTTGAAGGATCTTACAGGCTCAAGCCACTAGAGCTGATTCAAGACTTTGTGAAGGGAGCAGGGTATAAAATCAGCCCACCAACACCAGTAGCTCTTCTCACCCCACCCTCTTGAAGGTTCCACCACCTCAACACTTCTATGCTATGGACAAGCTCCCTCCTCGTGATACATTCATTGGATACATTCAGACTGTACCCAAGCCTTTCCTCAACCTTATTATAAGCCAATTTGCAGTTTTAGCATAAAACAAAACAAAAAACTCCAATTAAGGGAAGTACAGCTATCACTTCCAATTAAGCCATGCTTCCAATTAAGGTTTTACTGCTCTTTCTTGTAACAAATTTTCCATGTAACATCTCACAAACCTGCTCAAACTTGCAGCCCTTTTGGTCTTTGATCTTGGTGATCGTACCAAGAGTTCTTTTGTCTATTTCAGTTTTAATTCCGTTTATATATCTGTCAGAATTTTCTCAGATTTTTAAGGGAAAGGAGACACATGAGGGCATGTGTGTAACCTACCAGCTCCCTTTGTTTACAATTAAAATCAAAATGAAGACACAAATGGCACATAAAGGAAGACAAAGTTATGGAGGCAGCACATATGAAAACAAAATATGTGAGTAAAATTTAATCATTCATTGAAAACCAGAAACTTTACATATTACGAAGTATTTTAAAGCAACCATCTAAGCTGTTAACTACTTACGTCTTGTTTAAAATCTTTAACATTAAGGCAAATATTTAGTTATGAACTGAGTCTTCAAGTAGGAGAAGAGAACAATCAGCCAAAGTTCATATCAATTACAGCAAATTAAAGTTTTACTATATTATGAAATATTCTTGCTTATTAAGGAAATAGAGCCCATGACTAATATTACTTCCTCTTCCCATTTTATAGTAAAGAGTCACAGTTGGTTCCCAGTTTACCATGGCTGGACCTACAAATTTTAAATTTTACTTGTCTGTAAGCATAGAGTAAAATGTGTGCTTTGAACTGTGATAGGTTCCCAGGCAGGGACAGGCACTATGGTCCTTTACAGGAGTGCTGACCAGTCAAGGCACAGTAGTGCCCAGTCAGTCACATGATCACGAGGGCAAACACATGATACTTCACAAGTGTACGGGGTTGCTAAGCTGTGATGTGTGGTAGGCAAGGTAAGTTGGGTTTCTGACATGACATTTTGAGCTTATGATGGATTTATTGAGATGAAAACTAACCATAAATGAAGAATCTACCCTCTCTTCCTAGGAAAGCCTGTGAAAATCTCTACCTCTAGTCTTTTTTTTTTTTTTTCTTTTTTTGTCGGTCGTGGGGCTTGAACTCTGGGCCTGGGCACTGTCCTTCAGCTCTTCAGCTCAAGACGAGCCCTCTACCACTTGAGCTACAGCGCCACTTCCGGTTTTCTGGTGGTTTATTGGAGATAGGTGTCTCACTGTCTTTCCTGCCCGGGCTGGCTTTGAACCGTGATCCTCAGATCTCAGCCTCCTGAGTAGCTAGGATTACAGGCGTGAGCCACCAGCGCCTGTCTTCTACCTCTAGTCTTATAGTTTGATCTCCCCCAACATTATCTGATCATAAAGTTCTGTGGTCAATGGAATGTAAGCTTTTTTTAAGCTATCCATAAAGTAAAGTGGTTCAGAAATTTTCAGTGGATCAAATCCTTCTTCTACCAGCTGAAACTTCTGCAGCTTGAATGTCCCCGTTGTCTCCATTTTTTCCTATAAAACAATCACCAGGACAAGTAGAATTATTTATTATTATCCACACGACTTACTACACATAAATAAAACATTTAATTCTGTAGATCATATTATAATATTATAGATCACATTTAATCTTAACATTGACAATATTCTTTCTATATACGTCTAATTTAACCTTAGAAATTTTAAGAGACCTTATAAAATATTTAAAATTTTGATTTATATTTAAGCTTTATTAAAAATTAACTCATTAAACATATAAGATTATGAATATAATCCATAAACAGGTTATAAATATGCTTGAAATATGTATTCTATTCCTTCAGGTCAATGCCCACATAGTATTATATAGAGAGAATATTAATAGAAGTTAAAAGTTATACTAGACAAAAACTGTAATACAAGCTTTTTATAAAGGTTATAAACATTTGTGTTTTCCCATGTAGAATGAAAGGACAAAGTCAGTTTTATTCCCACTGTTTGGCCTCCTGTGATATTTTACAAATTTTGAAGATTACTGGCAAAAGAGCCCATAAGAATCTGTGTTAGATTTTAAGATAGCTGTTTCATTTAGTCAGAAGTAATTTTCATGTCTCTGGCCATAACACCCTGAACGCACCTGATCTCGTCGATCTCGGAAGCTAAGCAGGGTCAGGCCTGGATGGGAGAAGTAATTTTCACTTTGCATTTTCAAGTCATGTATTACTATAATTCATTTATTAAATAAAATGTGACTGCTGACTGTCAGGCTTTGTGCTAACTACAGCAAATGCTGCAATAAACGGCCCATGATTCAATGATATTAAAACATTTAGAAAACTTTTACAAAGTTGCTCTAGCTTTCTGGAACAATCCAGTGCTAAGATATATCTTCTGTTTCATGAGGGTAAATTTTAAGGTAACCTTACATAAAAGACCCTTACCAAATATGATCAACTCTATCAACTTTCCATTCCAACTAAGTATGTTACTTAAGGGGTCTGGTGGGAGGGACAGGAAGTTGCTATGGTTACAGAAGGACGGAATAGCATCTTTATGGAGTGGAGATTGTTTATGTCTGCTGTTATCACGGACTCATGAAGCTACACAGAAGATAAGAATGTATAAAAAGCATACACAAATAATGTGCATATATATTTAAACTAGTACAAATTTTAATAAACTAGATCATGTTGATACCTTGATGATATATGTGCTTTAGAATAAAGTAGAAGATATGTAGGCTCTGTGTGTGTGTGTGTGTGTGTGTGTGTGTGTGTGTGTGTGTGTGTGTGTGTGTGAACTCCGGGCCTGGGCACTATTCTTGAGCATTTTGCTCCAGGCTACCTCTCTACCAGTTTAGCTACCACTTCACTTCTGGCCTTTTGGTAGTTATCTGGAGATAAGAGTCTCACAGACTTATTTGCCAGGCTGGCTTTGAACCATGCTCCCCAGATCTCAGCCTCCTGAGTAGCTAGGATTACAGTTATGTGCCACTGCTACCTGGTTTATATAGTAACTCTTAAAAGTAGATGAATATCCACAACTCTCAAAAATTCAAATATTACAGTTATGTGCCACTGCTACCTGGTTTATATAGTAACTCTTAAAAGTAGATGAATATCCACAACTCTCAAAAATTCAAATAAAATACATTGCTTTTACTTTATATTAACTTGCTATTAGTATTTCAGAGGGTGGTCATGAAAATAATCTAAGGCAATGTATAAATTTCTTTAAAAGTAAAATATACAAAGGTAATATAGACTTCTATCCAATTGGATGGTGTGACTTGGCCATAAAGATTGCTTCACAAATGCTTTCAAATGAATATGGCCCAATCTTCTGTCCTTTTGTGGATCTATTCACAATAAAACAAGTGCATCCAGAAAAAAAGGTCCATGTGATTGGATGTTAACCATTGTTGTTAACATTGGGAAATTATATCTGATAGATGTAGCATTAATAAAAGAATGATTAAAAACAAGAAGTTAAATTACTTAGTAGCTGAGTAACTACAAGAAAGTAACTGAGTAAATTCTTTTTCATTTCACTCTACTCTATATCATCAAGTGAGAGCCTTCATTCTCAATGTGAGGATCTCAGAATTCTCCAAAATATAAAGCAAAGGTAGAAAAAAAGATGAAAATTAAAAGCAGAATTCCTTAAAGCTAAATGCCTTAGGTTTTGCACACTTCCTGTGGACCCTCTGATGTCTGCTTGGTGGAATCTAATCTAGGTGGACAGGGTCAAGTGAACAGGGTCACCAGACAGCACATGTATCTTGTGAGGAACATGATGCATCTTCACAAGACGTGGCTTCCCTGGGACCAGAGCTTTCCTGTGGCCCTAACTTCCAGGAAGAGAGCCATTCTGTAAGCAGGACAAAGACAAATACATCCTAGTGTTTCATCATGGCATCTAACTTACTTAGGCTTCAAATGTGGTACCATTTAGCACGAACACTACATCTGTATATTTTCTTGTTACTCTTATAAGAGAAATGAATGTATTATGTTAAGGATATAAAATTAGTTTTCTAGTAAAGAATCTTCTGGGTTCCCAGTCTTTAATCCATTGAGATAGAAAAATTACCTGAATTCTTAAAAATCGTGGACAGGCATATGCTGGGAGAGTCGCCACAACTTGCTCATAAATTTGTTCTAAATCTAAAGACTTATTTGGTTTTAAAAGAATGGCAGCCATTCCTGTTTTTCCTTCATAACCTGGAAGAAAGTGTGAGCAGAATCATTTTGAAGAAGTTTTAGATGAATACCACTCACCAGAGATATTAAATCTATTGTGGTGGTAACATCTCTAAGATGAATATGATTTTCTCCTTAGAAATAATGTCATAATCAGAAAGGCCATAATCTATCCCCAATTTCATTCTATTACCACCAACATAAATGCTAAAAAAGAATACACTTGAAACAAACTATATTCCTGTGGAATATACATTTTCTGTATTAACGCAAAATATAAAGGACATATTTCTAGCTTCTAGTTAAGAAACCAGAAACTGGTGTTTCCATAATTAACTACTGCTTATTGTGCCATCTACAGGTCTTAGTCTAGAACGAATGTTCTAGAGCCTTATCCAATATCCAGTGGCTACTTAATATTCTCTCCTCTTTTCTCCTATCCCTCCCCCCCCAGCCCTGCACACACACTGTCTATACATTGGTCATTTGCACATCAGGAAGTAATCATCACACTCATATTTGTAAAGGGGGCATAACATCTTTTAAATAATTAAAAAATATCTGCATCAAATATAAGCTACTGTTACTAAACACTTGATCTGCAACATGCTCCTCTTCAGAAATATGTATAAACACGGCATCACAAGAAAGATAATGGACTGTTGAACAGCTTCTATTTTCAGTGAGTCACTAATTGGATTTATACCTGTTTGGAAGTACACTCACACATTAAAATGTAGTAGGTTTCTTTCCTGTGCGCGATGCCTGTTAGTTGGATCAAAAGCATTGCTTGCTAAGAAAAGACTAGGATATTTATTTTAATAACTTTAAATTAGCAAAATACATTTTTTAAAAAAGCATTGCACTTCACATTTGGTTTGTGAGCATCCTGCAAAGTCTGAAATATGCTCATACCTGGCACAGTGACACCATACACATTAGCTTCCTGTATGAAATCCAGCATTCCAATGACATCAGCCACCTCCATGGTTGCAACATTTTCCCCTTTCCACCTAAATAAAACAAATAATCAGTTAAAGCATCCTTATTTGAAAAACTAGGGGGCCACTTTTAGCTTTAGTGCCTTGGATTCAGCTCTGTGCTTGAGAGCCTATTCATCCCTGGAAGAGAAAGAGAAGGTCTAGATGTGTGCCTTATTTATCCCATGCTGTTATTGACTACACATGCAAAATAATTTAGAACATCTAAGTTAATCTTAGGAAATGGGAAGGAAGATAAAGTGATAATTTTTTCTGTTTCAATTTTTATCATTATGACCAAACTGCCAATTATACCTCATTTCTATTTTCCATATATGTCTAAATGGTCTACATATATTTGTATATTTGTGAGGTTTAAGTGGTAGGATGCTAAGATTAACTTTGGTCCAGATCTGTGAGCTCACAGATTTGGACTAAAGTGGCTCATTAAAATAATGAAAAAACTTAAAATTGAAATTCAACTTACAGTTCACTTTACAAACAAGGAGGTATTGTGAAGACAAAGGCTAGTTCTGTCCTGAAAGTAGGGGGCCTGGAGACTGATATCTCCATAGACCCTTGGATCACAATTACAAGATGAGCAGAGCTCATACCTAAAAGTGTCTCCAATCCGGTCCCAAAAGTACAGGAAATTGTCCTGATCTTGGACCATCAAGTCTCCTGTGTTAAAGTAAACATCTCCCTTCTTGAAAACATCAAAAATCAGTTTGCTTTTTGTATGCTTGTAAGAACCAGCATAGCCAAAGAAGGGATTCCTTGTATTCACAGGAGAAATAAGAAGTCCTGGTTCACCTGCAAGAGAAAACATTATTTTGACCATCTGATCACAATATTGTTACACACAACATGCACGATCTAAATTATATCCTGTGAACGTAACCCATGTGGCTCGACTACGATCCTTTGCTATTATTTTATTGTATTTGAGGTCACTTACTCTTTGAAAACCTACATCTGACCCATCCTCAAATACAGAAACTACTTTAGAAAAAAACAATCAAGGGCTGGAAATGTAGCTTAGTGGTAGAGTGCTTGCCTAGTATGAACAAAGCCCTAGGTTCGATATCTCAGCACCACATGAATGGAAAAAGCCAGAAATGGCGCTGTGGCTCAAGTAGCAGAGTGCTAGCCTTGAACAAAAGAAGCTCAGGGATAGTGTCCAGGCCCTGAATTCAAGCCCCAGGACTGGCACACAAAAAAACAAACAAAAACAAATAAACAAAAAAAAAAAAAACAGGAGAAGAAGAAAACAATCAAAAGGAATTGTCTGAGGGAAATATATACAAATTTCTTTCAAATTTAGTGACTATTTTTGGTTTAAACTCAGTAATTGTTTTAATAAAATGATACTAGTGATGCTCATGACACATTTCCCACTTTGCAAGTGTCATCTTATTTGTCTTCTGCAGAAATATTCTAAAGCTGATACTATAATTATGCTTCACAACAAAAAAAACTAAGGACCAGAAGGGTGAAGTACACTGTCAAAAATGTGTGAAAGATAGGCCTAGAATTTAAACTCAAGTCTGGAATTTTGTGAAACATTATTTCTTATCTGATTGATATGTTTCTGGAAACTTAAGAAAATAGTTTGTTCCCCTGAAGCTTGATTCTAGAAACCTTTGACAAACAAGAGATGAGACGTAGAATGAATGGGAGGTTGAATAGATTTCCCATCTGATCATACTCAACCAGGTCCACTTACATTTAGACACGTTAATTGAAATATTTTTGCCAATGGAACTTAATGAAACAATATTTTTCTTTTAAACCTGCAGGGTAAAGGTTATTTCTTAGAGAAGACAAGAATGGACAGAGAGTTAAAAAGTGTGCATATTAAATAGTAGTATCTCACTGAAGTTTGGTAGTCTGATAATATTGTTCAGTTTGCTTTTCTTAAATTTGCATTGAGGTGGGATTTCATCCTAGTTATGATATTGTGATCTTTTGGATAGTGAAGCTGCCTTGTAGAAGTTTAGAAGCTGTGGGTGTGGGTTATCATTTAAATTAATATGTTTTGAGAAAGCATTTTAATGTTATGTATTTGGTCGATTTTAAAGGTTGCATGGTAGCATGAAGAACACATTTAAATAAAACATAGTTGTAAATTAAAAAGAAAAGGATAATGGAGAGAGTAGCATCCCTGCACAGACATCAAGGCCACTGTTTACTTGCTTTGCCTGCTGTAAAGAGAGGCAGCATGCACATGACTTTTGAAATGGAGGAGACTTTTTATCTGACAAGAACCACTGGACATTTATAATATCATTTGAAAGGAACACTAAATTATTGAAATAGACAGGTGGCCTTCAGCAGCTGATGAGAGGCACATGCCTATTCTGCATGACCAAGTGACAGCCTGCAGGCCACTAGTTCACTCTATGCAATCTGATGTCATGTTAACGCACTACTTTTCTCTGATCCCTTCTGAACTTGCTGGCTTCTTAGGGCACACGAGCCTGCCTCTGGCCAAAAGACATCTTTTTGTATTCCAACAAAAGCCTTCGTTTTCCTATTCTCAGTCACGTCCTTTACTAACGCCATCTTGTCATCGTCATCATCATCCCATCATCATCACCGTAACATTTTATCCACGGAGCACTTTCTAGGTATCAGCCAGTATTCTGAGGGCTTCACATATATTTCCCACCTATTCTTCAACACAAACATGTAAGAAAGGCCTCACTATCACCTTCATTGCACAGATAAAATAAAAGGACAAGAAAGCAATTTGTTCACTGACATCAGGCTGTCAAATGTAGGAGTCGTTTATCCATATATCTATAATATTTTACAATAGGTCCATCTGACTTCAAAGCCTCCTCATCACTGTATATCATCCGTCTACATTTCCAATGTTTTAGAATTTTACAAGACACTTTCTTTTTGGTTGGTCGTGGGGCTTGAACTCTGGGCCTGGGTGCTGTCCCTCAGCTCTTCAGCTCAAGGCGAGTGCTCTACCACTTGAGCCACAGCACCACTTGCGGTTTTCTGAGTGGTTTATAGGAGATAAGAGTCTCTTGGATTTTCCCTGCCCAGGCTGGCTTTGAACCATGATCCCCAGATCATGCGTAGCTACAATTACAGGAGTAAGCCACTGGTGCCTGGCTACATTTTTTTACCTCTCTCAAAATTTATGTTCTGTGTTTTTCTTCTTCAGGATACAGGTATTGGATCCTTCTCCAAAGACTAATTATTACAAAAATGCACAAATAGGTCGTGTTCATCTCAGATATGAATAGGCAAAATTGCCATTGTGGAGACATAATGCCTTACTTTAAAATACACTGAACAGTTCTCAATGAAATTCCAAAAGGAGTAAAATAGGTCTTAGGGATCAATTACTTTTTAAAAGACTCTGTGACTGCATAATAAACATAGCTCTGAGATTCACGTTCCAACATCAACAATCACTGTAATTGTAATAAGACAATCAGGGTTTAAGTTCTGAGGAAGCTCCTGAGAAATTACCCTGTTCTTGGACAGTGTCTATAAAGTTAAATGAGAGAAATGTAATTGAGAGATGCTGTTATCAGCAGCATTAAAATTCTAATAAGTCAAATTACATAATAAAGTCAGTTATTTTTTCTTCCCTAAACCTAGCAACTTTAGACATTTTGCCTAAGAAGATAGCTTCAAATCTTTGTCTTACCTTTTTTCACAGAGCTACACCAGTTCTGTTCATTCCTCATAGGTTCATCTTTCTGAAAATCATACTTTATCAAGTCAAAAGCGAAAAAAAGCTGCAAAAGTAAGATTTATCAATGAAAACAACAAGCATTTAGTTATTTGTGCAATGACATCTACTTACTGATAGGTTTTATGCTCAAGAGAAATAAATGATTAGACTATGGCTCCAATAAAATAAATTTTATATAGATACAGTGAATTTGATCTGATATACGCGTATGCAGGTAAAAAGCACAGTGAAATTGCTTCATGAGATTAATTCATGAAACTAAATTAAGCAACATTAAAAATTAATTTTTAGTATTTCCAAATTAACTTTTGTATTGTAAATACATAACACAACAGAAATTATGGCATCTTATTCCTTTAGAATTAAAGGTACATTAGTGTTAACTGTAATGTTAAATCATTAAGAGACCTCCTGAATTTTTCATCTTGCATGACTGAAAATCTTCATTCCTTAACCAACACAAAGTTACTTTGCTGGTGAAAAGTTGAGTAAGTGTATGAAGATCATCAAAGAATGTACTAGGGAGTAGCATTCCCTTGCTGGCATTTACTCTTTCCTTTCTTCTTTTTCTTCTTTCATTCCTTCTCTCAAGGCTGGTCCCTACCACTTGAGCCACACCTTCACATATGGCTTTTTGCAGGTTAATTGGAGATAAGAGTCTCTCTGATTTATGTGCTTGGGCTGGCTCTGAATGGCAGTGCTCAGATCTCAGCCTCCCGAGTACCTAGGATTACAGCTTGAGCGATTGGTTCTATCCTCAGCTCTGACACTGACTGACAACGTACTTTTCTCTAGGTTCACAGTCTCCACACATATTCATTGAGGGAATGCCTTTTGGGTCCCTTTCCCAATCTATAAATTCATGACTCTGTGTATGCAAAGGTGTACTGGGGAAGGGCCTTGCAGGCCCACGGCACATGGCCACGAATGTATGGACTGCATAGCTCTGGGAAGCCTACCTCTCAAGACCTTTGTGAATGAGACCCCCGGATCATGTGTGCTAGAAGGACACACAGACATACACATGAACTTTTGTGGTATGTTACCGGGCAGCATCTGTTTTTAATTGTGTATTTAACATCATGGAGATCTCCTGAATGTAGGAAGAATCCCTGTACTTTTAACTGACCCCAGTTATGGCTAGAAATTGTACTATGTTTATTTCATTTGAGTTATGCACTTTCCCAATTTCTGGACCACCATGTCCAGTGTGTCTGACACACTGAACAGTAATTGAGTACGGAATGGATCCCACTCGGTATCCTTGCCAAATTAATCTAAAAGAAATAACAGCCGATATCATTAGGGCTGGGAACTGTTTCAACATGAAGCATGTTTTTAAAAAGATGGGAAAAAAAGGAACCATGAGCAAGGCTTTGTAGGAACAAAGCCTTATCATCTTGACCAAGATGATAAAAAAAGTCTGGTCCAAAAATAGAATCTTTCTTCTTACCAGCCATCAGGGCAAGTGGCCAATATCCTGTTATCCCAATTACAGACAAAACCCACCACACAAGCTAGCACTTTAATAAAGAATCTTTGTGTCTAGAACAATGTGTCTATTCTGTTGCCTTTCCCATAGGGCCTAACCTTTCAATAGGGTAACACTAATTTTTACCTCACACCATGTTTAAAAGTAGAGGCTTAAATTAAATAGAACTCTTAAACTCTGAGTAACGTATTTGAAATACAGTTAAGTGCTCAGTTAACTTTCGTTGCTATAAGTTATATGGTATCTTGTTATACTTTCTAAATAAATCATTTATTAGAAGCCTAGACACAAGTTTCAAATGATGTAAACAGTGAAAGATAAAAAATGGTGAAAGAAAAGTAACCAAGGAAAATAGAAAGGGTTAAATTGGTATATATGAGGACTTATGCTTACTATTTACACATTATAGCAGTAAACTTGAACACTGAACAAATTCAGTATATTTATCATTTTTTGGCTGAAAAAAGTGGGAGATGATGAGTTTGAGTAACCTATAGCGCCATCAAGCACCTACAGACATTGCTCTGTGTACCCAAAGTTGTACGTAGGAGCAGTGGGCATGGAATTTATGAGCTGAGATCATGACAATGGAGGTTTGAGGTCAGCCCTGGAAACACATTTACAAGACCCCATCTCAAGAGAAAAGCTGGGTGTGGTGGCATGTAGCTGTCATCCCCGGTATGCTCAAGAGCAAATAAGAGAACTGAGGTCCAGGGTAGACTGAGTAAAAAGGGAGATCTTACCTCAAGAATCGCTAGAACACTAAGGGCTGGACTCATGCAGTAGAGAACCTGCCTAAGAAAGCATAATGCCTTGTGTTCAAATCCAAGTACTACCAACCAACCATACATATGTACATATACAGATACATACATATATGCATAGAAATTGTAACCGTAGTTATCATCATTTGTAAGCACGAACTTCAGAGTTAGGAAAGAGAATTAGCAGAGCTTAACAATTACCTTTGATAAAATAATACACTTACTTTGTAAAACATGTTTGTTCTTCCCACAGCTCCAATCTTCCCAGTGTGGTTCATGAAACAAATGTTTCCTTCAGTAGCTCCATACAGTTCACACATCTTGATATTCCCAAATCTGTGTATGAATTCTCTCCAGACATCGCTCCGTATACCGTTCCCAACTGCCATTCGTATTTGATGGTCCTTTTCTCCTTCTCTCTGTGGGGAGAAAAGATTTTACTTGGAAAGAATCCCAAATCCCAATTCTTTATTTATCATTATTTATCATTATTAAATAGAAGAAAGATCCTGAAATTTGTGTAGAACCTACATACATGTACTAGTGGGAGAGAAATTTAAAAAATCAGTTTATATACAAGTGAATCTAATAGGTTATGAAATTAACAACGGCGAAGATTAATAGAGCTTCTATTTGTATATCTTCTAGATATACTTTCTAAATTCTAGATTATTGAAGATCTTTTTTGGGGGCAGATACCAGGGACAGAAGAAAGTATATTTCAGGGGATAATAAACATTCATTGATGTTTATTCTTCCTCTTTGATCATTTGTTGGAAATAAATATTTCAAAAAGGTACTGACAATTGTAATATTAGCTACTCAGAGGGCTGAGACTTGAGGACTGTGGTCTGAAGCCAGCCGAGACAGAAAAGTTTGTGAGACTCTTATTTTCACTTAATCACCACAAAGCCTGAAGTGAAGCTATGGCTAAAGGGATAGAGCACCAGCCTCGAGTGAAAAATCTAAAGCACAGTGCCAGTACAGACACACAGACACACAGACACAACGGAAAAAGATGATGACTCCCTCTGTCAGTTTATCCATCAGAGAAAAGGTATCTCTCTCAAGTACATACTGCCATCTACCATGAATTCCCAATGCAAAATATAGTGAACAATAAAATTAACGTCATAGGATTGACATAATATGTAACTTGAACATATGTAACATTTATGTGGAAATATTTTAGAATGTGTAATATGTTCAGATTTCATGTTACAGTTCATATTTTAAATCAGATTGGTTATAACTTCAATCAAATTTTGAATTGAATTTGTAGCATATTCAAAAGGCACTTCATTGGGTGACATGATATTTGGATTGATTAAAATTAGAGTAGAAATACACTTATCAGTGTGCTCACAGTAAGCTCACGGTTTTCTAAGTATTCCCTCCACCATCCTCAAGAGTAACACACATGGTCAGAAGTGATCATAAATTGGCAATGAAAGAGAAACCAACATCCCTGGACTTGCAACTGGGACATTGGTGACAAGTTCCAATGCCATCCAGGGTTGTGTTTTTGTTTTTGTGTTTTTGGTCCAAGGACTTGAACTCAGGTCCTGGTGCTATCCGTGAGCTTTTCCGCAAGGCTAGCTCTCTACTACTTGAGCCATAGCTTCACTTCTGGCTTTTTGGCAGAGGGGAGAGTCTCAGCCTTTCCTGCTGGGGCTGGCTTTAAACCATAATGCTCAGATCTCCATCTCCAGAGTAGCTGGGATTATAGGCATGAAACTCTGGCGCCCTCCATCTGGATTTATAGTAGCACATTCTGAAATATAATTAAAAGGTACTTTTAAAGGATAAAAAGAATAGAAAAGGAAACACATAAAAGGAAAATTTCAAATATATGTAAGAGGAGTCCTCCAGAACAGTAAGAGAGTGGAAAAGTAATGCATGAAATTTTAGGCCGGGCATGGTCGTACATGGTTATGACTCTAGCTAGATCATGGCCAGCTTAGGGATACGTGAGATCCCCATCTCATCAAAGGAGCCAAGCACAGTGATCATCGTGCAATCCCAGCTACAAGAAGACACAGACGAGGACTGTGGCCTGAGGTGGCCCCAGGCAAAAAGCGAGAACTATCTAAGGCTAAAAAGGACCAGGTGTGATATTAGCAATCAGAAGGCCCTGAGTTCAAATCCTAATATCGCTAAAAAAGAAAGGAAAATTTAAGTGACTATTTTCCAAAACAGCAAGCTATGGATTAAAAAATCTAAAACTGTCAGAGAGGATACATTTTCACATTTTCTGGTAAGATCCATGAGAAGAAAAATATAAAAATAAGAGAAGAGGAAGAACTTTAGGAGCATTCTGACAGAGACATGCATATTTATGGGTGGCCTTCAAACAATCACTATAGAACACAGATAGGATAATATCTTTAAGAAATTAAAAGATAATCAGTGTTAACCTAGCATACCTCCCCTCAGAGTATTATTCAAAAGTAAGAGAAAAGCCAGGTACTGGTGGCTCACACCTGTAATCCTAGCTACTCAAGAGGTTCACAGTTAAAAGCCAGACCATGTAGGAAAGTCCATGAGACTCTGATCTTCAATTGACTACCAAAGAAATGGAAATGGAGCTGTGGCTCAAGTGGCAGAGTGATAAACTCAAGAAAAAAAAGCTCAGGGACAGTATCGAGGCTCTGAGTTCAAGTCCCAGGAACACACACACACACACACACAAAGCAAAAGATGTTTCCCTGGGTTTGATTCCTCAGCACCACATAAGCAAAAAGAAAAAAGCCGGAAGTGGAGCTGTGGCTCAAGTGGTAGAGCGCTAGCCTTGAGCTGAAGAGCTGAGGGACAGCGCCCAGGCCCAGAGTTCAGGCCCCACGACCGGACCCCCCCCCCCAAAAAAAAGATGTTTCCCGACAACACACACACACACACACACACACACACACGAAAAGCAAAAGATGTTTCCCAACAAATGAAAACTAAAACTTAGGATTTTAATAGAATGGTACCAGAGGAAATGCTAATGAGTACTCTTTGGCACCAACAAAAATAAGATGATACAGGAGTGTCTTTACATAGGAATGACTATTAATTCTTTTTATACATATGTGTCTATATATATATATATATATAGTATCATATATAGTCTGATTCAGGGATATTATACAGCAAATAAGATGTATTATTAAAATTATATGTAACACATAAATAATATTCTGATATACACAGGCATATTTACATAACATATGCACGAATATAAAGTATATGTATGTATAGATGTGAATAAATTAGAACTATATAGAATAATGAATCTTATTAAATGCAATTAATTATATTATTGCAATTATCATCAGGTTATCTTTTCAATGTGTAGCAATTAGCACTGGATGTAAAGATTACTAAATAATGTTATTGATAACTTTCAGTAATTATATCAGTAATCTGTGAAATTGTGTGATATAAATCACAATGTTTTAGCCTTTCAGAGATGCTCATATTTAGATTCTCTGTCATCTTTCAAAGGAAGATTTTAGGAATTGTCTGAGTATTTTGTGCTCCTATAAATTGAAGTCAACTTGAAGATGTTTTAATTTTTTAGGCTTTTAATTTTTAGGCCCTCTATTTCTTTTTTTTTTTTTTTTTAGTACAAATGAAGAATTTTGTTGTTAACCATCAGTGGGGGAGGGTTTTGAGGGCTACCTAACACGCCTTTGTTCTCCTTCGCCCTTTTTTTCCTATTCAGAACCACTGGAAATAATTTTTTTTTTTGGGGGGTCCGGTCGTGGGGCCTGAACTTTGGGCCTGGGCGCTGTCCCTCAGCTCTTCAGCTCAAGGCTAGCGCTCTACCACTTGAGCCACAGCGCCACTTCTGGCTTTTTTCTTTTTGCTTATGTGGTGCTGAGGAATTGAACCCAGGGCCTCAGGCATGCAAGGCAAGTGCTCTACCACTGAACCACCTTCCCAGCCCCACCACTGGAAATAATTTTATTTATTTATGTACTTATTGTTATCACAAAGGTGATGTATAGAGGGGTTGTAGTTACATAAGTCAGATAAAAACATTTTTTTAGACAGTGTCATCTCTTCCCTTATCAGGCCTTCCATTTTCAAATCTGAATAAATGTAGTTAAAATTAAGTTTTCATGAAATCTAAACTCATTATATACGAGACAAAATGAAAGAAGTTAATGTTTGAATCATTATTATTACTGTTGCTTATGGGTTAGAAAGTATTTTAATCATAAACTATTAACAAGAGCAGAATAATATTTAATTATGAAGTGAATGCTGAATAGACTTAAATGTAAAATCAAAAATAGTACTCTTAATAATTAAAACAAAATGTAATTAGAATATAAAATGGCATTCACCTTCTTAGAAATTAAAGTCAATCAAATCTACAAAATACATCATACTTTCTTAGTAGATTGAAATTTTGAAGGAAAATTCATAGTCTTTGTTGAGAAGGTAGCCAACTCTCCAATAAGAATTAGAATGCATATTTTAAACAGGTAATAAAGTTATGAAGTTACTTATAACTCTGTTTTTTTCCAGGAAATTATCCCACATGAAATGTAAAGATCCATAGACAAGACATTAGCCTAGCATTATTTATAATGGTGAATAATTAAAACTGTGACAATCAAAAAACAGAGGATGAGAAAATAAATTATACTATTGTTATGTGAGAATCATATAATCATAGAAAATTGTGTTTGAAGAATAATTGTCAATAGTTGAGAACAGTATCCAGAAAATACTTTGTATTTGCATGATGTACAATTGTAATTTGCAATCTATAGATCCAGATAATTAAAATAGTGATAATATTAGTATGGTGAGATTATAGATTTTTAACTTTTATTTTTTTCTGTATTATACCATTTTTCTTTCGTGTGTGTCTTTCAGCATCAAAACATACTTTATGTTCACACACAGAATCTATGAGTCAGTTCATCTTTGCTCAGACTCCTCAAGCATAATCTGGGTTTTCTCTTAAAGGATAAGACAAGAGATTAAAGCTATCTAGAGAGCTACAGAAGCACATGTGATATTCATGGAAAAAGTCTTGATCCTAGTTTTAATGAGTTAACTTTCTATTGCAATTGAATCATTAGGATGTTGTCTTATCTATTAATTTTATATAACTACAGCATATACAAATGCAAATTTATAAAATTTGTTTTAGAAACTATCTTTCCAGTGGTTTCTGCCAACATATTTCACACATATTGATACTTGCTAAAACTCATCCCTGACCTGAAAAGCATCCAAGAGTTGTGTCATAAAATACTGCTCTCTTCAAGCAAAACAAATCCCAAGATTTTTCTCTCTCTCTTTTTTTTTAATGCTGGTTCTGAGCTTGAAGTCAGGAACTGGGCACTGTCTCCCAGCTTTTTGTCTCAAGGCTGTGTTCTACCACTTGAACTATACTTCAAGCTTTTTTTTTTTT